CCATAGAAGGTTGCTAGATAACTGTTTACAACAAGTAAGAAGATACATAGAGTCTTTGGTGTTTAAGACTTTTATAGATGGGTGAAGACTTTAATTTAGCAGTTTACCATCTGTTACTGAAATTAGCGCTGTTGGTAGTTAAGCTTCTTCCTTTGGAATGAGGAGGTAGCCTCTGCATTTCCTTTTTAGGTTGGTTGCAGAATAGTAATCTGTTAGGCTCGTATCTCGCTGTGATTAATGCTGCAATCTCAACTCTTCAAACCAGCCCTTTCACCAAAAGGAGCAGTCTGTTCTCCCATCCTTCCGGCAGCATGTGTTTGCACCCTCCGTTTGGTTGGCACAGCTGTTTGCATGGACATGTGGGGAACTGCATCAGGGACTTCTCCCTTGCATTATTTTTTTTTCCTTTTTTTTTTTTTTTTTCTCTCCTTCCAGATCGACTACATGCTATGTTTCACCATGAGGTTAAGAGAGAGCTATACAGGCAAAAGTGAAGGTGCATAATAGGCTAAAGTGAAAAGGCAGCACAGCTTTTTTCTTCCTTTCCCCAGTGGCCGCTCATTTATCAGCTTAAAATGTTCAGGCTTTAATCTGTTGGTAGCAAGTAAGATTTCTGAAGTAGGTTTTTGTTTTCAAAAAATGTAGCATATGGAAATCTTTTTCTTGATTGTTTTGACTGAGGCCTTGGCAACTTGAGGCTTTTATAAATACTTCTGTAAGACTGGAAGTGATTAAAATAGTGGTATATTTCTAATGGATTCCTTCTTTGTATGTTTGTTCATATCTACATGTGCTCTAACAGTTTATTTGCTTGCATGTCTATATGGAAGCATCTTCTGGGTTGTTCAGTTCACTTTAAAGAAGGGCTCTATCTTGTTCTAGGTGAATAAACCAGGAGAATCCTGGTGATTGTTTGCTTTTCAGTAATTTTTTTTTCTCCTTCCACTGAAAGTGGGATAACTGAGCAAAAGCTCAAAGAATGAAACACATCCCCTTGCAAATTGATCCCTCATGTTTGTGTGGCTTCTCTCTGTCTTGGCAACCTGAAAACCCCTGACCCCCCCATGTCCTGCTCTGTTGGTCTCTTCTAAAGAACACAGCACTCTCTCTTCTTGAAGCTTCCTTGTCCTTGCAGGTTACTGTAAAAACAGGTTGAGGGTTTCTCCCCCCTCGGGTACAATTAGTCTTCAATTCAGTGTCTCCATAGAAGAGTAGCTGTGGAGAATGTCAGCTACACCATCTGTCTCATCCGTATCATCTGTCACTCTGCTTCAGGCCACCTGTGTTCATAAGAAAAGCTTTGCTTTTGCTTGTCAAAACACCTTCAAAATTTCTGTGTTTTTTAACCACTTAATTAAAAATAAGAAAGATAAAATTGTGGGTGGCATATCCATTTGTGAATGACAGTGTTGTTTCTTTAAAGTACTGACTGGCATGTATCTTCATTTTGGGTTTATTAATTTTCTTCAGTCAGTGGAAATTATGACATTAGCTTGGAACTGGTAGAAGCAGGAGTGAGAAGACATCTCAATCTAAAAACACTGCAGAGTATTACAAATAGAAATAACTGCCTGTGGCAGCATGGGTACTTTATTTCAAAATATGTCCTGAAATCTCTTCTGTGAAACTTACTTCGGCAGGCTGGAGGAGACTCAATAGGAAGCACTATAAAATGCTGTTCTGGAACATTTACTTGATGGAAATTTGTATTCCTGTGAAGACAAAATCAACTGCTGTATTGTAAAGACATTTATTGTGAGCAGCAGAACTGCAAAACCTGGTATTCTGTGAATTTGTCCTTTTTCCTCTTTAGCATCTTCATATTTGGGTCTCCCAGCTCTTTTTATCCTTATTGGCAGGGTGGTTTTTTGCCAGGCAAGAATAGGCCATACTGGGTTGGAATAAACTGGCCAAACAACATGTAACATCAGAGTTCTTCATGTCTGTTTCTTAAGTAGCATGGAGCTTGGTCTCTGTCTTAGCCACTGAAAGCTTACAAAACGTACAGAGACACTGAAATTGGACAAAGGGTTCAAAGGCAGTTTTGGGGAGAAAGAGGGAAGTAACATATTGGACAAAACTCACTTCCTCAGCTAAAAAAGTGTTAGAAAGGTTTTGCCTAAAAAGATACTGGGAAGTAAAATATTGCATATGCTTGATCATGCTGATTAGTTAAAAAGAATGGGGAAGAGAAAAGTTTAATTAGAAATGATTGATGTATTCATTTAACATTTGAGATGCTGTTTATCATTGGCTAACCATTATCTGGGGGAAGTAATATAAAATGACAAAGTAAGATCAACATGTAGTTAAACACTTCGTTGTTTGTAGATTGGGCCCATATCTTATGACTCTCTTATGGGTGACTTACAGGTTTGGGTTGGTTTTTTTTGGCTATACATACTTCTAGTTAAAAAAATAAAAAAAGTCTTTAAGCAGGTCAGTTTCCTGACCTGGTGCGTAATGTTGCCCTGTATACTGACAGCTGTTTATCTCAAGTATGACTTATTTCTCCAAGTCTTATGGCACGTTGATTTTATTATCAGCATGTCTTTAACTCGCTGTCTTACTCTAAAAGGTGGAAGTCAAGTCCCTGATAGCACCTTAGAACTGGACCTACTTGGATGTTTAAACGTTTTATATGCTTAGACCTTAACGTGTAACTTTTTGATTAATTTCTCCCTTTCTGTTCCTTTTCCATGATACTTTTCCAAATATAGTAAAGATATTATGGATTTCTTCCTAACTGAAGGACAAAAGCCTTATTTACTGTCAGAATTTAGCAGGTGGTGTTGATGTACAAACATTTCATGCTCTTTTAATAAATGGCATCTTTCTTGTGTTTTTCCTAGTCTGACAAGCTTGTCTGTGTTACGCTGTTTTGAAAAGATGCCTTTTCTGAATTGAAGATGCTCCTTGGCTTTTGCATAAAACAGTAGTGATGTATGTTCACAGGAGTCATGACCTATCATTTTGAGTGTGTCAGACAAGCTTAGCCTGGTGCTTCCTCTCTGGGCTCGATGGCTGTGTCGGAGCCTGGCGGGTAGGAAAGACCAATGTCAACCCTTTCCCTCACAGAATTCTTGCAAGTATTTCTTCTCATCTCTGTTTGAAAACCATCTTAATTATGCTGATAGTAGCGGAGCTCCATGCACAGTGCGGGAAGCGAGGCGTGCTCGCTTAAAGCATTTTTCATCTAATATTGATGTTCCACAGGGGGCCTCTATGGGCTCTGGGTAGCCTCGGCACCAGCATAGCTTTATGCAGCATAAATACTGTTCTTTGCACTTCCCTTTTCTGTGGTGTTTTATAGCAAGACAACTGCGTAAGAGGCATGAAGGGCTGTCTGAATGTGATGACATGCTAGCAGTGGTGTAGCCCCTTCAGTATACCTTGATGAACAGTTTTTCTCACACATGGGCTCTCTCATTGTTTATTGACAAATGGGTTTTAGTGGCAGAATGTGCAGCTCTCAGCCGGGCGTTGCTCCCTCCGTTAGGCTGGCAGGTAGAAGTGCTGATGCTGCTGCCAGAGAACTGCTGATTCTGGGTTATTTTAAGCCAGGATCGGCTGCCCGGTGTGGTTACAGTCAGCATACTGGCATAACTGGGGACCAGAGGGACTGGTGGGGGCTAGGGACTGTTGAGATCAGCCCAGCTACTGAAATGCGTTATCCTTAATATTTAAAAGAAAAAAAAAAAGTCTAAAATTTGAGCATGCCCATAAGAACCAAATCCAGGATTTGCCTGCTAGTGTGTGTCTGGCAAAGTCCAGGTAGTAGCAGCTGTGAAGAAGTTTAAAAATTGGGTCTTTCCGTTCTTTCTTTTTTAATTTCAAGTTGGCTCACTGTATTAGTTTGTATTTGGCATAAGACCCTGTTTCCTCTGCCAAAACTGTCAAACTGTAATAAGTATATAATCCATTATAGGTGGAAATCCAAATTGCTCCACTTACCTGTGGCAGCACTCATACTGAAAACTTGCTGAAAGAATGGAGAATATTTTATGCGTTTGCAGGGATAATCTATAGTCTCTTACTCACTGACTTTCATACAGCTGAACTAAAGCTTTAAGCGTTCGTTTTAACTGCTTTTCTACAGAATTACTGTACAAGTAAATAGCCAGCAGAATATGAATTCTGAGGATGTTATAAATTTATATGTATATCATTTAAAATAAAATATACTTACAGAAGTGAATGTAAATAGTTTTAGGAAGGTTGGATGGCCTTCCAGCAAGGTGTATAAATGCATTGGCAGCTAATGCCCTTGCAGATAAGGCATTATGTAGACACAACAAAAAATTAGGCCAGATAAATTTATTTTTATGTTTGTGTATGTACATAGTAATAACTTCAGTGTTACGATTTGTAGGACCTTGACAATTTGGAGATGAATAACTGGATTTTGGCATTCATTACTGTGACTTCACTTCTTTATATTACATATTTGATTACTTTTTGCTGAAATGAGGTGCTATTTTAACTGCATCAAGACAGACATTATCACTTAAATGCTGTGTGAATTTATTTCTATGAAATGCTGGTAATTGTAACAGTGCAGTTATGTTTGAAGACTGTATTTAGCCAAGTAGAGGTAATCTGTATGTTTTGTGCTTGTGTTAGTGCTGTTGTAGACACACAGCATAAATATGCGTTAAAACTAGAAAAATAAATTAATATTGCACCTGCAAGTTACCATTTTTCTTCAGTAGAAATGGGATAATTTTTCTTTGTGAAAGCCAACACAGGTGGTGAAAAAATTAACTGTACAGAGTAAAAACAAGCTGGAGGAAAAGCAGGAAATGGGGCTAAAATTACCTGAGGAAATTAGGCTTCTGCAGGACTTCTTGTCTCTGCCTAAAGTCCGGTTGCCCATTTTGGCCTTTTCTTGTGAGGAGGAGGAGAATGGTGCCTGTAAGACTCAGGAAGGCTGCCAGCAGAGGAGAGGGAAAGATGCACAGGACTTATTGGTGTGTCCACTCAGAGCATTGGTGGGATGGATGGTCAGGACGTGGGCAACTGTTAGCTGTGGTCACAGCGTGGTGCCTGAGGTAGGACTGCTGCTGTGGGCAGAAGAATTGAGCAACAAAGAACACAAATGTCTGTAGGAAACTGGGCTCCCCTAATTTTGTTGCTTACGGAACAACTCGCCTATCTCCTACTGTTTGTGAGGGTGACTTTGAACGTGGTTATATGGAGGCTGTAAGTGATTGCACCAAAGCTCTTTGTGAATATATATGTGTAAATATATAAAACATCCTTAAAAACGCCTTTAGTGTTGCAGCAAAGTTGGATCCGATTCCAGTACAAATGTTCATCTTAATAAAACCATCTACTCTTGTTAGAGTAAACCTTGAACGTTGTCTTTGAGTGATTAATCCCTTTGGCTGTTCATTTGTGGTATTTTCTACTTCAGGTAGAATGTGAAATACTTTTTGTATTTTCATTGTGGTATTCTTTAAAGTGCTTTAAAGTATATTGGAGGGGGGGGGGGGGGGA